CTTGGGATTCTGGGCGTTCATGCACACAAGCTGGCGTGATTTTCATGCCACCAGAGCCAGGATTTAAACCACACAGGGCCCTATGGGATCCAGCACCCTAACCTCCATATCACCTGCTGGCCCCCCTGCTTTGTTTCTGATGCAGTAATGCCAGAGGAAATGCTGGTAGTCCCAGGCTGATTTACCCTCTGCTGGGAAGACACTGAGCAAAGCCATTGGCCCATGGGCCACCACCTAGGGCAAGGACTCAGAGCCGTAAAACCGTGTAAGATGCAGCATGGTTCTTCTGGCAAAGGAAATCGCAATTACATGGCATAACCTTCCTGAAGATAGTAGCATTCGTGACTTAAATGAGAAAATTATATTCTCATGTCCTTTTCCTTTCTTTTAGAGAGAGATTTTGTGTAAGGGTGCATGTGCTCGCCAGAGAGACAGAGACAGAAAGTGAGAAATCACCCCTGGGAGGGGGTGGCCATGCCACATTCCTTTCTCCTCCATCCTCCTTCCGAGATTTTGGGCAGGTGCACACATGCGCTTGGTGTATGTTTCAAGCTGTCAGGTCCAGGTCTCGAACCATGGTCAGCCATGTGGGAGTTCAGTGACATAACCATTATGCCATCAATGGGTGCTAAGAAAGTTCTGTCTTTAAAACTTTTCTTTCTCAACTAGTAAGTGAACATGAAAAATGTAAGCCAAGATTTCAAGGTAAAGAATCTGAAGAGTGCGGAGGGGCATCAGTTAATTCAGTGCTTGCGAATACACGAGGCAACAACGGAAGGCAACAGCACCAAGAAGACAAGAGTGTCTCGTCCCTGCTTCCTCTGTCTCTGCATCGCTGCGGCTCTGTTCCTAGGTGTAGGAGCTGTCTTCCCAGACGGAGTGGGAGATGAGCTCATGGCCATTAATGCCCCAAGCAAGCAAAAGCACACAACCTACTACCAAAAGCAGCCTCTGCAAAGTAAGCCCAGGGTGGCGTGGATTTAGGAAAATGCCCGTCACCAGGCCACAGTAATGCCTAAGTGGCTGCAGACATTCCCCAAGGCTGACTTCTCAAGTTGGGGTTCGCACAGCCTACATTGTATTTGATACAGGAGGGAGCCTGGGCTGCGTCCCTTCTCTATGTAATATATAATCCCTGTTTTGCACTTTCCTTGCGTTATCTGCCTTTGAAAACCTAAATGAGAAAGACACACTGACGCCTATTTGTCTCTTATAAAAATAAGTGTTCAGTAAGTTCGACTCACTCAGTTATATCTTGTAGAAGGCCCAAGTCGGATCGGAATTTTGCATAAGGGAAGTTATTCTTGGAAATTGCAACTTCCATGCCATGAATATGTATTCCTGTATTCCCACTAGATACCTAAGCAATTTCTTCATGAGTCCCACTTAATTTCCTCTTCTCTGTGATACCGCACGGCTTAATTTGCCCTCACGGCCACAGTGGAGCTGGCGCAGCCCCTTCCTGAGCTGTCACCACATTTAGAACCATCTTCGGCACGGGAGGGGGGAGGCAGCTTCAGTAACTGAATTCAGACGCTCCCTGTATCAGCTCAGAGAACCTCCTATAGAGCTATATGGGCATTTATCACATTGTTATGAGGGTGCGATATCTCAGCCAGCACCCCTTCGAGAGTGCAGGTCCCTGGGGAAGGACCAGGCCCAGTCAGGTGTTCTAGCACCTATGGCAGGAACTGGCACACAGCTCACGCTTGGCCAGTCTATTGCAGAGTGAGAGCAGCCCACACCTTGGCATTTCTGAGAACAGGGAGCCAGGGGTCTCTGGGCTCCTGAAGGTCAGGGTCTAGGAGCCCAGGGGCACGGATGCTTTCTCCCTCCCATGGTTCCTATGACTCTGAAGAACCAGGATAGTTGAGTCCAGAAAGGAGATTCAAGAGACCTCCCAGGTAAAAACACAATGTTTTGAGGGTCAACAGGCAGCCTGGTGGTTAGGGTTCTAGATACCCACATGGCCAACCACGGTCTGAGTTCCAGACCTGGTGGCTTGCTTTTCTCCTTTCCTCTCTCTCTGGTGGGTGCATGTGCCCCATAGCAAATTTTAAAATAACAAATAACTAAATAAATAAATCTTTTTTTTTTAAAAGTTTCTGCTCTTTTCCCACATAAAAAATGGGTGCTGCCAGAAAAGAGTTTCTTAAACCTCTTCATTCCATATATAAGCACAAGACTTTCCTCATCATGTAACAAATTAACAGGGATAAAAAAGACTCAGCTATAGAGTACCCGCGAGTTCTGGCAAGAGACATTGATTCTCTCAAGTGTCAGGCATGCTAAACTCATGGCGACCAGCAGTGGCGCTGGGGAGAAGCACTCTCTGAATTAACCTAGCTAGTGGGTTAGCGCTCTGTCTCACTCTCCTTTTGTTTTAGGCTTCTCGTCTCTTTGCTTGTCCCACTCCCCATTCACACTGAGGTAGGAAACCCAGAGCAAATGTCAGAAAGTCCCGTTGGTAATTGAAACACTGGTACATGCACAGATACATGCACAGTTAAATCTCATGTGTGATGAGTTTGCTTCGTAGGCTACTGATGCCCATTAAAACTGGCACTGCCCATTAAAAGTGGCCAGCAGGTGGCATAGTGGCTAAGGTGCTGGACTCTCACACGGCTGACAGCATTTTGAGTTCCAGATCCGGTGGCTTGAAACTCACACTGGGTGCCCTGTTCATGCATGCCAAAAATTCCAAAAGGAGAGTGGAGGCAAGTGTGGCCACCCCCTCCGGGGTTGACTTCTCACTATCTCACTATATCTCTCTGTCTTTCTAGCAAGCAGATGCACCTTGTAGCAACAATCTCTGAAAAAACAAATCGGGCAGCCATAATCTATGCATTTTACTTCATCTTCTTTTCCTATTCCTAAAAACAATGAAAAATTAACTTCTTAATTTTTAAAAAGAATTTATTATACTTAACGTTTAAATTATTTAATTAATTAATTTTAATTTGACTAGAGAAGGACAGAAAGAGAGAGAGCATGTGCAAGCAAGCCGCCAGGTCCAGCACTCGAACCATGGTCGCCCATGTGGGAACCCAGAGACCTTAACCACCATGCCATCTGCCAGCTCAAAATTAATTTTGACATAATTTTAAATGACACGTTTTAAAGGAAATAACTGGTCACTTGAAAACAACTAGGATCTTCTAACAAAGTTCTTTGAAGACATTTTAATGAAACTGAAAGAAAAAACAAGTGAAAGCAGCCACAGCTGTGTAAATAAAATAGCACCCTGAGCTTGGAGGTGATGTCGCCCTGTGACACAGCGTTGACATTCATGCCTCACAATCCAGTGGAGCTCTAAGTACATGGAGGTGTTGGTTCAGAACATTCCAGAAACTGCGTGCTTCACTCCACAGATGAAATCCGGGCCCTCCCCACTCCTGTCTTGTAAAAGGGAGGCAGCACGCCGCTCAATAGCGTTTAAAGAAGGACCACGCACACGTGCATCGGGCACTTGTGACTCACCTTTGTCTTTTGCATCACACTAGATGTGTGAGTCCCTGACAACACCTTATGTCTAAGTCCTCAGTCACGTTCTAAGCCTACTTCCCAGCTGCTCCCATCCTTCTCCCCAAGTAAAGAAGACTGAAAGCAAAAACTAAGGTGATAAGAGTGAAAGAAGTAGAAAGTTCAGGATTAGGTGGTGCTGCAATGGTAAGGCTACTGGACCTGCTGGGCCCACATGGGAAAGGTCCTAAACTCCTGTCCTAGGAGCGCCATAAACATGCCTGTGACCCAGGGCTGCTGAGGCTGGAAGGGGGTGTGAAGACCCTGTGGGAGTTGCTACCACCCCCTCTAATGGAAGACGTCAATAACCTTTTTTTTAAAAGATCAAAATTAAGAACCCATACAGTTCATAAATAATTTTACCAGAGTAGTTATCAGATGGCTCCTGTTCCCGGGGGGAGGACACGGTGCACCTGGCATGCCAGGGACGGAGGCTTCTGAGCACTGGCTGCGAGATTAGGGCAGTCCATTTAAATATATTCAAACCAGGGAACCAGCAGTTAGCGTAATGGCTATGTCGCTGGACTCCCGCGTAGTTGACCGCGGTTTGCGTCCCAGACCCGGTGGCTTAGAACTCACACTGGGCGTGTGTGCGTGCGTGCCCAAGATCCCGAGAGGAGAATGGAGGAGAAGGGATTGCGGCATGGCCATCCTCCCTGGGGGGTGATTTCTCGCTTTCTGTCTCTGTCTCTCTTTCTCTGTCTATCTGGCGAGCTCACACACCCTATAGCAAAAACCTCTCCCCCCCCCAAAAAAAAAAATATATATATATATTCAAACCAAAAATACAATGACAGTTTTTTCCAACCCAAAAAAAAAAAAAAAATGGGGCAGAATCAAGAAAACTCGTGACATCTGCTTTTTGAAGGACTGTATATACTGTAAAGTAAGAAGCCAGGATTCACAAACAGCATAAAACCGTGACATTCTGAATATTCGGACATTAAAGGAAAGATCTACAAGCCACGGGCAGTGGTTAATCTACAGGTTGCCTCCATTTCTAAACTCTGGAAATTCAAAGTTTTTCAAAATATCACAAAAGTCTTATACAATTAAAAAACTAAACAAAATAAACACAAATTTAAAGTGCCTCATTGCCTAACTGATCTAGATCCTTTTTGGTAAATAAATGTGTCCAGGAAAGTGGGTTAAGCTCTTTTTAAATTCATAAATGCAGCTGGCATTCTGACATTCAAGTCTACCATTAATTTAGGGCAAAGTACAATGTCTGCTCGGATGTGGCGAACAACGGACGTATTCGGTACTGTCAGTGCTCGGTGACCATGTTTCTGCACCCGTCTCCACCAGGCGGAGTGCTTCTGTGGTCACGACACGTTCATAGGAAGGATGCACAGCTGCCCCTGATGAAAACACTCCCTATTAAGCATATGCTAAGTCAACAGCTCTCTAGGCTGAGCATAAATGAAGACAGAACACTCCCCATTAGGATTCAATTAAAAACCTCCAGGATACGTTACCTGCCGCCTCGCGCACTGAAAGGCACTACATGGATTCCCAGAGGCCCTCCATCGTTGGGGACTTGTACGAGCTTTACCATATCACTGTGAGACAATGATGAATGAGGGAGCATGAACATGGACTGTAAACAACCCGAACCGACACAGAACAACACTCTGCCACACAGACGACAAAGTCGCACCACGCACGCACGACACGTTCTGGGTCTAATATGGCGATGAAGGCAACATTAGACACTACATACCTGAACACTAGTCTGATGGCATGAGGGGGGAGCAATCAGCAGAGATAATGACATTAAAATGACACAGAACCATTTCTCGGGGACGGTCTTCTGCATAATAGAAGTTTCTGTTTCCCAAATCTTTATCTCGAGACTGCCACTAACAACTTTCCCACCCGTACCTAGCTCGAGGACTCTGGAGGTAAACTGAGGAAAGGGCTGGCCGCTGCCTAGGGCTTTATCATTGACAAAGTGCTCTCACGCAGGTCACGTCATCGATTCAGCAATCTGATGAGGCCGAAGCCTTCGCTCTTGTGGGTGACGGTCCCACAGCTCAGTCACCCTTTCCTAAATGGTTATAAAAACACTGCAAGCACAAGTTTCCACACTCCTTCCTCAAAGCCATTGGAATCCAATAAAAATCAAATAATTTCCTTCAGTGTTTCAAATTGATCTTGAACGTGGTGAAGGTGTTTACATTGCATGAAGGCACGTGACAGTCCTTCTACTACACAACTAGGTGCTCTGTGGAAAAGAACACAACAGTCGGTATACTTGGCAAGTCCTTCAAGAGTCTTTACTATTAACATAAGTCTCAGTTGAAGGATAATCAGTCGAATTTGAAGAATGTAAATTTTTTCACGTTTAAATGAGATTTTGCTATCATTGCTGATTTTTCCATGTATACATATTATATCAGAGATCTCAGCAATATTTATCTAGCAATCAATGATTGGAAACAGTACTATAATTAAATATCTGGTTTACGTAACCTGGAAAATCACAAATGGTTACCAATGGACGTGACCAAGAGCACATGATAGTTTTTGTATGACTGGGAAAATGCCAATTTCTAAACTGCACTTTCAGTATGAAAACCTGAGGTTACCCGGTGTTCTGTGAATGCCCTGCTTATGTAATACAAGAAGGAAATATAATTAATGATAGAGCTGGCATAGAAATCTAACATTGAGAATGTTCACATAGTTTTAACTATGTATGTTAATTAGGCCAAAATAAACACTTTACCATAATGTCCCAATGTTTACTACCGTAACACTTCTTAGATGGATTTTTAAAAATGTCGTTCATAGAATTTTACAAAATCCTATTTTAGATGTTGTTAATGCCATTTAATCATTTGTCTGACAACTACGAATGGGATAATTTCAATACATTTATTTTATCCCACATTCTTTCTAAAAAGAACTATGGCAACACGTATTTCTTCGATCCAAATACTCAGTGTGTCAGCGTCTATGGCTCCAAATAGAATCTGGTTGAATCTCACTGGCAAAGTCCTAAGAGTCCTCCCGTGGAAGACCAAGAGCAGACAGGGTAGGTACATTAATGCTAACGTCTCTACCCTCAGCCTTTACCCAGGTCGAAGAAAAAAATCCAGAATGACTGTTCTCTCCACTCCAAGCTATCAGGAGAACGAATCCTATGAATTGCCTTTCACTTAAAAAAACAACAATATTTAAGGTGACTGGAAAGCTGTAATGATACAGGAGATTATTCCTGTGTCCGTCAGTACTAAAATGATGTTCTCGTGCCGTAGCTACGCCCTTCACTTTTCATCAATAGTTGAAGGGCTTCTATTTCATACACTTACACACACACATATGGTGACTAAAGCTTACATGCTTCAGCTACTTTTTCAAGTAAAGTGCATCCGTATATTTTCTTAATTTAGCAAAGTTGAAGAACAAACGAATGGCCAAATTACAGACATACAAAGCGATCTGAAAACACAATGCATTAAACATGACACATGTTCAATCAAATACTATTTGACAGTATGATTTAATAGTATTTGCCACGGCCTGAAGCTCAGGACCCGTACATGGGAACTCACAGGCTCTACTGGCCACATGACACAATTCATTCAGGAGATGGAAGTTGCTCTTGGACGCAAAGCAATGCATGGCTTGCTCTCACTAGGCACCAACATTCCACATGCCGTGTGCTTCCAGAATACCCGCTGCAACTACAACGCCCCATGAATATTACAAATGTAGTGTAACCCATCAGGAACTTACTCTAGAGAGAAGTTGGGTGTATTCTCCAAACCAGTGTCAGCATGCCCCACAGGTTCCACACGGCTGTTGTCTTCCTCTGCCCCATCCTCATCCTAGAGGCAGCGGGACACAAAGAGAGGCACACTCTGTGTTAGGTCGGCTCTTAGTGGGAAGCGAAACTGGGGAGCACAGAGTTAACAGGCATTGAGAGGGCTAGGTCTGCCTCCAGGAGGGCTGACCTCTGTAAGAAGGGGAGATGTGTGTGCAAAAAGCTGCACTTTAAAGCACTAGTCTCCTGGTCAGCCTATCTCAGGACGGGATCAAGACACTACTGGAGGGGTCAGTAGGTGGCGTGGTGGTGGAGACACGGGACTCCCACATGACTGACAATGGTTCCAGACCCGGACCTGGCAGCTTGCTTTCTCACTTATTCTTTGTCTCTCTCTGGTGAGCCCATGTGCCCTGTAGCAAATTTTAAAAATAATAATAAATAAAATTAAATCATTCTTTGGAGGGGAAAAAAAGACACTACTAAGATAAAAAAACATAGAACTTTCCTTAATGCCAATTTTCATATCTCATTTTTTTTTTCTTTTTTTGGAGAGGGTTTTGCTATACGGCGCGTGCGCTCGCAAGACAGACAGAGAGAAACAGAAAGAAAGAAATTGAGAAATCACTCCCCAGGGGGGATGGCCATGCCGTAATCCCTTCTCCTCCATTCTCCTTCTGGGATCTTGGGCACACACAAACGCACACGTGCCCGACGTGAGTTTAAGCCACCAGGTCTGGGACTCGAACCGCAGTCAACTACGTGGGAGTCCAGCGACATAGCCATTACGCTAACTGCTGGTCCGCGTATCTCATTTTATTCCATTTCTCTTGATGTATGCACAGGAAGTAATTATATATTACTACTATGTCATGATATGTTAATAATCAAATGCATGTGACAACTGGGCGTATGTGTTTAAATTTTTTACTGTTCAAAGTAGTTAGAGGTCTTATAAACTGTCATAGCTATTAAAACCTTCAAAGTCACATCTGTAGTTTCTACTAACATGGCTCGTTAAAGGGAACATGCAGTGGAGACAACCCAGATTTGAAGTTTCCCACTCCGTGAAGTTTCACATGAAGTTACCCTAAAGCAACGGGCTGACTGCTTAGCGGTAACCTGAGGCCATGGAGAACCTGTTCATGCCTGCGTAGACAGGACAAGCAAAGGAAAAGCACCGACAGACAAGCAATCAAGCCCCACGCTGTACTCGTCCTGGGACAAAGGCAGCATTTGGTAAAAACAATGTTCCAATGTGTTGCGGAACTTGGGTTAAAAATGCTAGTCCTCTAAAATGCACGTGTAAGAAATGTGGTGGTGCATGAAAATAGGAGAAATATCCCCAAGGACAATACATAGTCTTGGCCACTGTCTTTCACTGCAGGTCACTAAGAGTTACTTTGGATTTTTGGAATCATTTGAATGCTGATGAACATGCCTGACTGATAGGAATGGCCTTACTAGGTTAGAATATTTACCAAAGATTCAGATTCTCCGAACACGATGGCAAAGAGGTCCCTGTGGAGTTTACTTTGAATCCAGCGTCTGACAGCTAGTAGGTATTCTGTAAATATTTTCCTAATTAAAGCAAAATCATCCCTAGGAATCTCTGGTATAATAAATTTCTAAATGCAATTCAGAAAAAGTTATTTTATCTGTTTCTTGGAAGTTTATGTGTATAATTTACAGACATAATTTGTTAGGTCTAACTTTTCTACTATATAAATTGGACAGTAGTGATTTTATTCTGAAGTTATTAAACCACCCACAGAGAGTCTACCATTTGAGAAAAATGTCATCTTTATACTCATGTATTTGAGAGATTCATAGAAATTTATATGCCATCAACAGGAATATCAACGAACAAAATGATAAACAAGAGTCGCAGGTCCAAGACATAATGTCAAACAGTGTACGAAGGGAAGCCGGAGCGGCTGACAACGTCCAACTGACATTTCCTCTGAGACTTTCGGAAAATAAGAAGCTGAATGCACGGGGCTTTCCAGGACCGAGCCATGCTCTGTGTGGTGTCCTGCCTGGCGGGGCACTGCGTGAAGTCAGCTGCTTGAAGACTGATGAGCCTGTGTTTGGAGAGCTTCTGACAGGTACTTCTTCATCTATCTCTTTGAAGCACCAGCACACAATGCATTTCAAAGGTTAACCAGCAACTTGAACCCTGAGAACTACACTTCGAACGTGAACACGAACTCTCACACACAATGATGCTTTTCCACTGCGAGTCGGGGCAGGGAGGAGAGCAAACAAGATTGTTTACAAACCAGACCTAAGACTTAAAAATCATCTTGCAAGGGACCAGCAGTTAGCGTCATGGCTGTCGCTGGACTCCCATGTAGTCGACCACGGTTCAAGTTCCAGACCTGGTAACTTAAACTCATGCCAGGCGCGTGTGCGTGCGTCCCCAAGATCGTGAGAGGAGGATGGAGAAGGGATTGTGACGTGGTCATCTCGCCTAAGGGGTGATTTCTTGCTTTCTGTCTCTCCGTCTTTCTCTGTCTTTCTGGCGAGCACAGGTGCCCTATAGCAAAAACCCCTCCAAAAAAAGAAAAAAAAATCATCTTGCAAGTTGAAGACCTTTTGTTCCAAGATTCATGGATGATTTAAGCACTGGTGAATTGCCAGCAAGATGTGTCACAGGCTGAAATAGCTGGGCTGTGGACTATGGAAGGTCCACGTGTACAGAATGCCCCAGCCCACAGTGGCCAAGCAGCAAATGACAATTTGCACACACACTGTTCCCACGGTGGCCACCGTCAGGCCCCAGGAGTGTGCAGGAGTGACTCTGTGTCACTGCACATGGCGCTCGGTTTGGATTGCAACACCCACTGCCCTGAGGCTGAGCTGCAGGTGCTGCGGGAACCAGGATTTAGAATTCCCAACTGCTCGATGTGCGGATATCAGCACCGATGTGACTTAATTCTGTTGTCTGGTTCCTCTAAAGCTGCGACTGAACATGGCTATTTTTAACAAGAGTTATACCCTGAATTCCATTATAACCATAGGAAATGAAGCTCAGTTAGTATATATGTCCAATCAATATTTAGGGGTGACAATATTAACTTATATTAGACCATGTTAAGGAATTTCAAGATGAGTGATTCTACTTTGTCATTTCCATCTCTCTACTACATATCCAGAGTTAAACACATATACCCCTTCCATGCTTCTATCCCTTCTGTAAAATGAGGGCAATAAAAATATATTCCTCTGGGGGACCAGCAGGTGGCAGAGTGGTTAAGGTGCAGGACTCCCACTGGGCAAACGGTGGTTCCAGTCCCAGGTGTGGGTGCTTGAAAATCATGCTACTTGTACATACATGCCCAAAATCAAGATTGTGGTGTGGTCAGGCCCCTGGGGAGTGATTTCTCACTCTCTCTCTCTGCCTCTCTCTGGTGAGCACACATGCTTTGTAGCAAAACAAACAAACAAAAAATCCTCTTAACGGACTGAGAGGAAGGAGATATGGTGCCTGACACATTTTAATTGACATCAAAATGGCAATTTATAAATGTTATTGAAAACAGAACTAAATAATAATGACATACACACCCTGATTCATATTTTAGGTTAATTATGCACAATTATAAGACACTTGGGACCAGCCCTGCACCCTGGCGGCTAAAGGAGCTGGATCCCACATGGCTGACAGTAGTTTCAATCTCAGCCCCAGTGGATTAAAAAACATGCCAGGTACATATGCGTACATGTCCCAAATCCCAACAGGGTAGAAAACAGAGGAGAAGGGATTGTAGCATGGTCCCTCCCACCCCATTCAAGTGTGCTTTCTCCTTCCCAATTTCTCCCTTTCTCCCTCCAGTGAACACATTAAAAAATATACCTATCAGGACCAGCAGTTGGCACAATGGCTATGTCACTGGACTCCAATGTAGTCAACTGCGGTTTGAGTCCAGTGACTCGCTTGCAAACAAGAAAAATAGCACTTCACCGTAACACAGAACTGCACCTACAAACGGTCGTTTGATGCAAACATTCACACTGTGAGTCCCGAGGAACTAAATATTTTGAATCATTTTTACTTCGAAGGAAAGTCAACAATTTAAGAAACTAACTTATCATGTAAAAAGAGCTTTATAATAAACTAAAGTTAGACTTCCCTACCCAAATTTCCTGCACCTTTTATTTTACATTTAGAAAACACAAAAGGCAATGAAATTTCTCATGTTTACTCCTCAACAAATTCACAGTATTTCTTCTCAAGTGTTTTTATTATTAGCAAAATAATACATTTTAGCTGAATCAATTACTAAGCTACAAAAGTACCCTACTAAATGATCTTTTCACACTTTTTAGAGTATTCCAGGATTTTCCTAACTTAATGAGAGACATGTTAACTATTAATGAGCTATAATATCCTAGAGAAAATAATTATTTGGATGTTGACAGAATGAATTAAATCGCTTTTTCTTTGGATGACATTTGGTGTAAAATAATTCCGGAGGGAATCTATTTCCAGGTCTCCTAAGTATCACAAATAGGATTCCAGAAGGTGTCTGTGTTAATGTTGCAAATACTTGATTAACTGGCCTAATCTCCAGGGAAAAGTAATTTCCCATCATACTTGGAAAACAATTGAAAACATCTGGGGGGAGTGGGCCGTTACAATAGGAAATTACAACTCTGGAGCTACCTCCCAAAGAAATAAAACCAGGAAATGTGCAATACGATTTTACTTCATGATCACTATGTTCCACTAGAGTAAAAACATTCAAAACAAAGCAAACAAACAAACAAAAGAGCCTAATTCAAATGCTCTTACAAATAGACAGTGCGAGATAAACAGCCTTTCCAAACAAAAGGGGCCAGACAGCAGGGCAGCGATGCCACAGTACTCTGGGGGGCAGGCCCTGGCGGCCAGGCAGACGGGGAATGGCCCAGGTTCGCTTCCAGAGACCCTCCCTGGGCAAGTCCGTGTGTGTGTGCCCCTGCTATGGGGCCGCTAAAGCTAAGAGTACATTGTGGGGACCCTGGTGGAGTGCCTGTCCTTCTGTTTCTGTCATTCTTGTTCACAAAAGGAAAAAAAGA